GGCATTGATTCTCTAGGGGTTCTTCATATTTGTTTTAACGAGGCAACCAGGAACTGTTTAGACACTATTACTATAGAAAGAATAGCAGTTGATTTCACGAGCACTACACTAAGAAGTGATATGTAAAGGTAAAAGGAAACGGAAGCCTGAAATGTGTCACTTATAGAAGTAATTGCAGTAGAATTATTTCAAGAAAATAAGCACCAGTTAAAGCCTCCTCAGTAAATTTTACCCAAAGCACATCACGCTCCAGGAAAGAGGGGCAAGACGCTTCCAAAATACATATGCCACCCCCACCCCCAAGAGTACCTCAAATTTTAATTCCAAAATTTGAAATTTTCGATAACCCATCCCCATGAATGCCCAGGACGACCATGAAGAGTACTACGATTACTTGTATTTTAGTAGAGGCCAGTGAGTTAATTTTGAGCATTCATTAGAAAATATGCAGCTCGATAACGGATCTTTGGAGAAGGAAGAAAAGAAAGTGGTTCCTAGAAGATCGTACGCCATCATTGTGAGGTCAAACACATGAGTATTTTAATGCACAGAGTTTAACATAGCAAGTCAAAACAAGATCAAAGCATGAAACAACCAAAAAAAGCATGAAACAAGTTTAAATTTTCTTCATATTTGAAGAAACATTCGAGTTATTTACCCAAAAAAGAACATGTAAGTCAACTGAACAAAGAAAAAGAAGCATGCTGGCATTTAGCAAATACTAATTACACAGATTGCTATCAGATCTAATAATACAATCTCATCTATAAAACTTTACTTAGAAGCAAAAGCACATGATAGAAATGATAAAGACTAACTAGAAAGAATATTTTTTGCAGCAAGGCTGCTGCTACAACTAAAATAACCAGCAAAGGACATGCCAAACTGAAGATGTAAGAATACCTGAAGAAAGAGGCTACTCAATCTTGGACATTCCAGTTGCAACGATTCCAGTGAACAACAGTTGCTGAACAAGAGAACAGAATTCATTAGAAGTTACAACTTCGATTATGAAAACAAAATTGTTGATATAAAACTAACCTATGAAGTCATATTGCTAAAGTATATACCTCAAATTGAGAAAGCACAGGTTGTAACAAGCTATATCAACCTCCTTCAAATTCGCAGACAGGGAAAGGTTTAATGATGACAAAAGGAAACCTTGTGCCATCGGAATAACCACCTTTTTTATATTTGGGCAACCTACACAATTTAGGTTCTCTAGCAAACGCTTTGGATGTTCATTTGGCAAATGTTGTTCTACCAAGGAAGATCCATGAGGTGCTATACCAACACCAGGTATACGCGACAGTTGGTCACCAGTAAATCCCCAGTTCAAATCATGCATATTAACACATCCATTCAAGCTGACATGAGTCAAATGCGTGCAGCAAGCAAGCAATTCCTCAATGGCTGATTGGCACAGCGTCCCGTATGACAAATCCAACTCACAAAGGGCTGGGAGAGCATTTTCTTTGTACAGAGGTTCCAAAGATGTATCAGTGAGATACTTGCATGCTTGCAATTTTAGGACCTAGAAGAGCAAATAGATAAGCTTAGAAAGGGGGGAAATGCAATAAGCAAAAGACCATGAACGTACCATACAAGATGCAATAAAATATAATCCCAAAAGCAGTAAGAACTAAGAAGGCAGTGTACAGCGCAGCCGGAAAGAGAGAAACGCAAAATTGTGGTGTTAAAATACGTCACAGAAAATTTCAGATTGATAACGCACCTAAAAAAAATTGAAATACAAGGAACTCAAGTCATTGCAGTGAAACAAGTTGGGGCATCAGACAATGACAAACCTTGTATCCTAATTGAATGCATTAGAGAATCAGGCGGGGAAGTAGAACTATTCAGATATGACTACACAAAAATAAAAGAGGAATGATAGAATGCATAACCAGACCTGGACGCTATACTTCCAGATTCCAGGCCGGCCATCTTCAACGGTTCAAAAAGGAGGAAGACTACTAAAAGAAAGTTAAGGTGGGGATTCTAGCCTATAATTTTGTAACCTTCAACAAACGAGTTAATAAATAACCCAAAGAATGGGTATTAATTCTTTAAGCATAGAACTATTTGAGGACAGACAGACAGCATTATCATTCCTTGAATGGCGTCATACCATAGTCCATCCCCTTCTTTACATGTTCACTCACTCCCTTTCTCACAACACTCCCTCTCTCTCCCGGTTAATATGGCTAACATAATCGTAAGTTTTAGAAGCCCTACAATATTCAATCTCAAATTTTCTCGGGTTTTTAACTATTACTCTATCCCTTGCCTTCCAAGTAGTCTTCTCTCAGTGCAAAACGGAAATTGCTAGTTTTCTGCTTGATCTTTACAGTTTCAGCTGTTCCAGCGCCAAATTGCAGGTAAAAGCTAAAAGCTAAGCTTGCCTTCTAGTTATTTTTTTAGCTTTCTAGAAGACAATATGCCTCGGATAAGCTAGGTCTTTCTCGGGAGTTGTTTATTCAGACAGCTTTAAGAACATTTACTTTACAAAATGAGAGTTTAAACAGACACCATTGGTCTGGTTACAGTTGTGATTCTTCATTTTCTTTTTCAGTTTTTGAGTTCTTCATTTGCTCTCTAAAGAGTAAAGACTCATTTTTGCCTTCCCTGAACTGCTTTTCTTCCTTTTTTGCAGTTTCCTCGTATCCATGGTTGTCAACTTTTTATCTACTGGCGTTACTTTATCTCTTTTATCACTTATACTTGTGCTTGAACTAATGCATTGGCTTATTTTACTTCCTATTCTTTGTACACAGCTAAATTTTCACTTTGAAAACAGAAGTGGTTTTTTCGGTTAATAATAGGATTCGGTTGTTAGTACTGTGGGAATAATTTGGTAATTGGTAAATAAATGTTTTTGTAAGAGTATCTTGTCCTGAAAAATTAAGCTTTTGCCGCAATTGGAAAAAAGGGAGAAGACAGATATAGAAAAAGGAAACGGGGAGACTGAGTAAAGTAGAATTGGCTTATGACCCAGTGTTCATCGCATCGTGACATGAGTAAATTTTGTAGTAGGTATTTTGACCTTCCCAAACTTAACCCAACCAATCCATTTGACACCCATAAAGAAAAGGGATAGGAAAGCGGCCCTTAAATCTACAAGAGTGGAAGTCAAGACTGAATAAATAGGCATACTTTTTTCAACAAATCGAGCATGTTAAATCAAGTTCATCTAAACTACGCACTGTAATGGAGAAAGTGATAATACTTCGATGGAAGAAGTTACCTTTAATCGCAAGCATGATTCATAAACAGGCTGCAAGTTAACCAAAAATGTGTAGGATAGATCAAGGTAGGTCAAGTTTGGGAGGGAATGCAAAGAGAGCAGTCCATCACAGCCAACAGATGGACACGACATTAGTACTAATGACTCGATAAGGGGGCATGATGAGGTCGTGGCAGATAAACAGTCATCCTTGAGTTGGCTGCATATATGGAAAGACATTAATCAGATGTGAAAAAACTGAACAAATATACATGTGTGATAGGTGAAACAAAGTAAGCAACCTGCAGAATGAAGCATCAAAAGAGGTTAAGAGAGGGCAATTAATGGATGCTTCAGATAGCACACCACAGCCCTTCAGCTCAAGTGAAGCCATTTGTGGAGCTTCAATATTGAGCACACTCATTTTGGGGCATATACCGAGATTAAGTGACCGAAGACCAACCTGCAATAAGAAAATGCATTCATCAACTTCTTAGGAGGAAATAGATATAAAAAGGCATAGTAAAATTCATAAAATTATTAGGTAAAACCCAAAGAGGATGTAAAACAAAGAACAGATGATATTGAGGCTAAAAAGGAGCCTATGGTCACTTACTGGGCAAAATGATGCTATTTCAAGATGATCACAACCATCTAAAGAAACTTGCTCAAGATAAGGGCACCTGAGTTGAAGAGACATTAAAGCACGGCAACCAGCAAGTGAAAGAGAAACCAAAGAAGTGCTGCAGAAAGCCACAGCTGTCAAGCTCTGAACAAAGAGAGAACCGCAATTAGATTTAGACCGTAATAATGCATACAAGCCTTTCAAAAAGAAAAAGGAAAAGGTGAAGTTGAATAGGCAGAAATATATCATCATTTTCTTTCAATATAAAAACAAAAAAGAAATATTTTCTTTTCCAAATAGGTGGTAGCAAAAAACAGATCTGGCAGAAAAAAAAAGAGCACAAAGAAGTTGAATGCTGCATTATGTTAGGAGTTTAGAGAAGTATCGAGGGACAGGGGGGGGAGAAAAGATCTCAAAGCATTTCATTAGACATAATTAAAAAATGTATGAATGCTTTCATGTGGTCAATTCAGGATAGCTTAATAAACTCTCCTCTAAAAATGGGTTTTCTTNCCCTCGTCCTTTCCGGGAGTTGGGGGTGTTAAGTGTTAACTTCTTTGTTTGATAAGGTCAAGTTTGGGTTGATAGACCCAATGTGGTACGGTCCTTCTACAGACCCCCTGCAGAGCGGGAGCTTAGTGCACGAGGCTGCCCAACTTCGTGAGTTATTGCAAACAAGACAAATTGTATAAAGCACAACTAGATGACACAACATTCAGTACACTTAGATTTTTCAAATGTTATTGACATGATTCAAAACATTCCAGAGACACGAATATCATCTTTATGATTACTCATTAAAAACCCTGCTAATTAATTGTTCGATTTTGCAGTACTAAATTTATATACTTACATGTTATTAATTCCTAAGTTTCTTAAGAAAAGAACAAAATGGTAATATGATAACAGGTCCATAACTACATTGACAAAGTTGAGGACGAAGGTAAGCTCTCATTTAACAATATGTGTGATGCAAGATCAAGAAAGGCCAAGAATCCAAGAAATTTAATAAGTCCAAAAATCCATTCAAGATTATGATTTCTTTTCCTTAAACATTTGGATTTCTTATTTCTTGTTTCCTAGTAATTTGATTCTTGTTTTAGTAGGATTATATTTGTAGTTCTAGTCAACTAAGATTATTAGTTAGTATTCCGTTCCGACTAGAATTCTTTTTCCTATATTAGTTAGAATATATTTTTCTTAACCTTATTGTTATTCTAGTTTGATTAGGATTAGTTTTCCTTAACCTCGTCAATTTTACTAATTGTAAGGCCTATTTATAGCCTGTTTTGGCCAAGCTTTTCAAGAGGCCAAAAGTGCTTATTTTCTCAAAAGCACTTTTTTTTCCTAACTTGAGGTGTTTGGCCAAGCTTTTTTGGGGAAAAAAAGTGTTTTTGGGAAGAAGCAGAAGCAGTTTCTGAGAAGTAGAAAAAAGTAGCTTCTTCCCAAAAGCAGAAGCAGTTTTGACTTTTCTTCTTACCAAAAATACCCTTAACAAAATATAGTATATACCAAAATAACTGTTAAACCTAATACTTAGGATATTAATGTATAAATATTTCTTATTATTTTTAGGATAGTTTTCTAATATATAGTGACTTTAGGGGTGAATGCTTTTATATTTGTTGAATGATTTTTAATATATTTAACTTATATTAAAAGAACTAAGTATTTTTAAATTTTATTTTCATATTTTACTTAAATAAAATGAAAAGATTTAATTATTGCGTGTAATAATAAAGTTTTAAGATTATTTATTTACTTATAATATTAACTATTAAGCAAATCTATTCATGTCTTATTCGTAATTTGATACTTAAAAGCACTTTCTGAAAAGCTTGGCCAAACACAAATTATTGCTCAAAAGTGCTTTTCAGAGTGATTAGCCAAACACAAACTGCTTCTCTGCAAAAGTACTTTTTTCAAAAGCACTTTTGAAAAAAGCATTTCTCAAAATAAGTTGATTTCTCCAGCTTGGCCAAAACAGGCTATTAAAGGGCTCAACATTCTAAAAATAAACATTGGTGATTAGTTTTTCTAAGCTCTTGTTTCAAAAACATGATTTATCTTTTAGTTCACTCTTCTTTCTTTATTCAGCGCTTCTTGCAATCTTGCAGGATTGAGGAACGAGTGGGTAAGGTTCTTTTCATCTTACATTCTTCTCGCGTGAGTTTGAAGAACGCTTTCGCTAGTTTTATGAAAAACTTTAGCAGGGTGCTTTCGTTTTTCTCCTTCTTTATGCTTGAGAGGTGCAAAACCTTCTTTATGCTTGAGAGGTGCAAAACCTTGAGACTACATCAATATGTGCGTAAAAATCAGCTGCCAAGATTTTGTTAAACGCCTTTCATTGTCAAGTAAAACTAAGTAGAGATACATATATGTTGGTATTAGATGTAGAAAATCATGTTCAGCAACACCTCCTCTAGTTAACAACCAAGCATGCACAAGTTTAAAAGGAAGAACTAAAATTACTAACCTCGCAATTATCTAGAATTAAGGATTTAAGCACAGGACAGCCACCACCATCGCTGAAAACTTCACAGATAGAATTGGTGAGCGATTCGCACTCAGTAAGGTCTACTTCTAGCAAATTCGGGCACTGCAATGTAATTATTGACAAGCTTTCTTGCTTCTGCAAAACTAATTTCTGCGGAATGATAAAGGAGAGAACCATTATCCCATGAATAATGCTAGTCAATATATTAAGGTGATAAAGATAAAATATCTAGGAACAGACTTACTTTGAGTGCACTTGAAGTTATATTGATTCGTTGGAGCAGTGGGCAATTAGAAACAGTAATTGATGATAACATGCCACTATGCAAGTTGAGGTCAATAAACCTGTCTCAATTTAAACAGAAAGTTAGTGCCCAAAAGAGTGACGGAAGTTAAAATTTCCTGACACTGAACATGGAAACAACAAAGATATTATCATACTTGCGACAATGTACGAGTCTAATGTTCTGAAGGCGAGGAAGATCCAAGGACACTGATGTTAATAAACTACAATTATCAAGCTCTAGAACCTGAAAAGTAGTGAAATTCACTTGTAAATATGAGGTTGAAGGACTCCTGAACACAGCATGGTTACCAGTATGAAAAGTGTGAGGAAAGACTCAAACCTCTAACATATAGCTATGGGCTATGGCAGCCATGGAAGCTGATGTTATGCCCTCACAACTGTGAAGCTTGAGAACGGTCAACATAACCAGCCTCACAGACTTCAACAAGGAACAAGTGTCAGCATAAACCAACTACGTCAATTTCAGGTACTACATAAAATTTAATGAACATCAGAACAGACCTCAAGAGAAATGTTAGGGCAGTATGAAGCATCCAGAACTCGAAGATTTGCACAAGTTTGAGCTATTTCTCGCAGTGTTTCATCACTAACACATGAACAATTTGACATATCCAAAGACTCTAAAAGAGGGCATGCTGTTGCTGCCGAACGAATAGCGGCGTCTGAAAGCTTGTGACATGAAGCTATATCAAGGTCGTGTAAAAGTGGGCAATTAAGCACGGCATGTGGCATGCTACTGCGCTTAAGTGACAACGTTTCAAGCTGCGGACACCTGTAAGAATAACAGTTAAGCACAACTTGGCGCCAACTATATTGACAGTATAACATGGTCTATTAACATTTTACCTGACAGAAACTCGAAGCACACGACACTTCACGAGCTGCAGAAGACGCAATCTGTCATGATAAATAGGTATCTCCTGAATGCCATTTCCAAGAGTAGCATCATTAACAGTCAAGCTCTTCAACATATGGCAATCTGTTAAGGCCTGGAAAAATGTTTCCCCCAGCTGACCTCTGCCCAAAGTCAGAGCTTCAAGATTTCTGGAAACAATGAGATGTATCAGATTAGTCACTTACGATGATCCATAAAGTAGTGCCAACAACATAAAAACCAATTACCTTAATGAGGAAACCGCTTTCATTGCTAGTGTGTGAATATTAAGAGTTCCATATAAATTAACAGCTGTTGCATTTGGGTATCGTCGACACATGTCCTCAACTATCATCAAAACAGCCATCAATTCTTTTTAATAAGTGAAAGAAACAACCACAAACTTTATCTTGTGTAACCATACAGATCGCAAGAAGTTGTTATTGATTGTGACACAATTTAATGTAAAGGTATCATTGCAGTGTGCAAGATTACTAACTTCAAGCTTCAATTGAGAACAACTTCCTAACAGAATAAATTACATAAACAAAACGAGAGGGTAACCACTCAACTTGACATGCTCTCTCATTTCTCACATCACATTACAGAAAATCATTCATAACCCAGTGTTGTCAATGGTGAAAAGCTCTAAAAAGCGCTCTAGGTCTATTGGGGCTTTAAGCGCACAGCGCACTTGAAAATGTGGGCTTTAATAAAAAGGCACAATGAAGGGAAAAAATAAAAACATATATGTAATTCAAGAGCAAAGTAACAAATTCATTCATAATGTTTTCCTTTACATCTAATACACTTATTTTCCGATTATGTTTGTGGTTTAGTGTCGCTTGATTCACGCTACAGCTCATGGGCAATGAGGCGCAGGTCTTAGTGCCTTGCCTTAGACTGAAGTGCAGCTTAAGAGAGCTGAAGCGCCCTCCCTGAGCTTTTCCGAGCTTCAGGGCTTAAGCACGCCTTAAATGAGCCTTTGACAACACTGTCATAACCCACCAGGAAGAAAAGAGTTATTCTATTAATCCCTAATATTTGGCAATCTCTTATTCTAGCGCAGAGCTCTATTAACCAGCTAAGGACGCATCAGCTTTTTGGTTAGGTATTGATAAGTTTTCCCTGCCCTTTTCAATCGACGGAGACTAAAATCTGAAGTAATGACAGTTCCAATATCTGTTGATCGTCAATAATATATATTCAGATGCATGCTCAGGTTTATGAGTAATGTAAGACACAGACATCTCTCGCAGTCTCTCACATTTTTTCTTGCTAAGAATCAAGCCATATAATCAATTGCTCAAGATCATCTAAGAGACAAGTGAGTTTTCTGGCCTTGGTTAAAATATGATCTGCTTTTCTCGGTATCACCATACAACAACTTCATCTTCGGAGTTCCAGTCCTCAACCCCAAGTATGATGAAGATGGTTAAAAAGTTCTATAATTGCTTAAGCCAGAATAATCAAATTATATTTGTGCATACAGTTTCATGATAACATGAATCAAACCATTGGGAAAAAATAAAGAACAGCATGTCAGCATTTATTACCACGGTAAAAGATACTCACATTGATCTGAGGAAATCTGCTTGTTCTTAAAATTGAGATACCGCCAAAAATCTTCATGAGAGCTAGCTGCTCTCCACTGCCTACAAACACTTGCAGCTCGACAGAGATCAATATGGTCCAAGAAAGAGAATACCTAGCAGCACATGGGACATATATTCCTTAATCAGAAACTTAGCGGTAATAAACAATTGTTTAAGCAACTCGGACGGAACAGATGCCAGGCAACTAGTAAATACCATATGCAACAAGTCATCAGTAAGATCCATCCGCACATCTAAATCCTCCATTTTTGAGATGCCAATATCTTTCCCCTCATCATTTGTTGCATCAAGAAAGTTGGATAAACTCACATCTCCACCACCCTCGTTCATAGGACAAAGGTAATTGGTCTCCTGCAACAAGTGGTTGTCCCAATCCCTGCAAGAATACCGATCAACCAGTCTTTATACAAGCAAAGCTATGAATTTGTTTCAAACCAGTCCTCTAAATTGTATTTTGTCACAGCCACTTCAACTGAAAATATCCCCAAAACACAAAGAAGCGGGGAGATCACTACTGGCAGAATTTAGATCTCTGTATCTCTTTATTTCAAAATGAGCACGTAAGCTAATCACAAAAACAGGGTACCAACTTCCGGATGTAACAATCTTTTAGCCTTCATTAATGAGGTCTGCGTCAGATATACATGAACAAGGAATACAAGTTGCTAAAAGAAAATTCAAAAGGATCTCAAATTTAGAAATACTTATTTCAGATTAAGTTTCTACTCGAGGTTTTGACCAAGGACTCGTGTAACATAACTCGCTATTATATAAGAAGCTTGTTAGACTTCCCTTTAAGTTAGCACAAAAAACTGTGACGACCACAAATGATCCCTCCCGCACACCCCACTAAACATAGAAAAATATAAAATAGTAAAATGACCTTTTTTTAACCTAAAGGCATGTTAGCTAACTTGGCATCTTTAAGGAATGCAGCAGAAATAAGAGCTTTTAGAGTGAAAAAGCACTTCTTCGAGTATTTTATTTTTTTGAAGAAGTGACAACACTTCTTCGAATATTTGGAAAATACTTAATAATAGTGTGGCAAAAAAGCATGTTATCACAAGCTCTTTTTTGAGCTTTTCGCCTGAAATTAAGCCTCGCTCCAAATGCAATTTGTCTATTATCAAATTAAAGAGTTAAAATATTACTTTGCATTTTGAAATTCCATAATATAAGTAGCTTTAGAAATAATTCTACTAAATATATTAATTAAAATGCTTTTACAAAATTTCTATAGTGTTATATTCTTTCTCCTAGAACAACTATGCGAAAATGTACCTTCTCCAAAACACAGTGAACTCTGAAACAGGCTTGACTTTAATTACAACCATATATAACAACCCAAAAGCCTGCATTTGAGGGACTCTTGAGTGTTTTCAAGTATTGAGACGGCCCTATAAACAACTACGCCTAGTTGCTATTCATTCTCTATTTTGGCCTATTTCACTCCAATATTCCATAATTTGACTAATTCAAACAAAAAATAATAAAGACTACAAATGAAGGCGCAGAAGCAGGTCTTACAGCGAAAAGGAGTTAACTTTGGGCCTTTTGCTACAGGAATCACGATCAGGATCCTCTCTCTGCACTGTTGAAGACGAAGAAGCCTCTTCACTCAACCCTAAATTTAAATTAACATTCAACATTCTCTCACCACTGTAATTCCCATTCCTCACCTCCACGTCACTGAGTAACCAGTTGATATCAAAATCAATCTCCTCATTCCTCCGGACACCAACATTATCCGCGCGTGGCCTCGACGCGCCAGCGCCGCCAACATCAACGCCGTCAAAAACCGCCCTCCAGTCAAATGCCGGGTTTTCATCCGGCGATTCATCGCCGTTATTTCCCAAAATCGGGTCCCTCATACTCTTCTTGTAACCCTTGCTATTATCTTCTTCTTCTTCACCGAAGCAAAAACAACACCAAATCCTCATACACACACTCACAACACACCCAAAAAAGCGGGAAAAAAACAAATAGAACTCCAAATTTTATCAATTTGTGAATTTCACAAACCCTAGCTCACGATCTAACAATTTACCCCCAAAAAAACCCCAACTTTACAATAAATTACACCAAGACCACTCCTTTTACACAAGAAATTACACAGATTACACAGTTGAGAAAATCCAATGGATTTTTATTCAAGAATGAAGTAGCATAATACAAAAGATACACAATATGTAGGTACAGGTGGGGAGAGAGAGAAAGAAAACAGCAGTGCGAGAAGTGTAGAGAGAGAGAAGAGATCTGATCGGATCTTTGAAGGATGGAAGGCTGGTAAATGGTGACGCTTTTTGGGGATTGAGCTTTGAAAAGATCGGCGGAAACGGAGATTTGTGGCAAACAAAAAAATATGAAGATTTGTAAAATAAAGACTTATGTACCTTAAAACTTATAAGTACATAGAAAGTGATATATTATAAA